TGGATACTATGCTGCTGTCCATGACACTTCCCTTGCCACTCAACACTGATAGACTTTCAAAATAAGACTCCAGGGACCCTACAAAATAAAAGCCTCTATATTTTTTACATATATTTATTGCCCTATATGGCTCAACATTATGACCCAAACTCAACCCCATTTTAGAGAATAGACTCTAGGAGACTGTTTAAAACACACCCTATGGCAAATTTCAAAATTAAAGCCTCCCATTTTATCTTCATCTACTGCCCTAAGAACATGGAAAAAAGAGTGATTTAACGATTGGAAAGTCATCAACTATCATTGCTGGGTCTGAACATTTTCTCTAAACACAACTCTGTTGGACTTTCAAAATAAGACTCCAGGGACCCTACAAAATAAAAGCCTCTAGATTATACTAATGCAATAATTGATGCAAATGGCTCAACATTATGACCCAAACTCTTCCAGGTTGTTTTTATTAGACTCTAGTGACCTTTTCAAAACACACCCCAGAGCAAATTTCACAATAAAAGTCTCCCATTTACTCTGTAATACAGCACCTATTCACCTAATAACATGGAAAACCAGTGATTTAACATTTGGAAATGGATTCTATATCACTGCTGGGCATGACCCATCTTTTGATGCACATCCATGATAGACTTTCAAAATAACACTACAGGGACTCTACAGAATAAAAGCCTCTTCCTTATACACACTCATACATTCTGGCATATTGCTCATAGCCATTTGTGATTTCATCACTGCAATGGCTCTGAGCATGCGGGCGGAGCCCGCCATTGGTGATTTCATCACTGCAATGGCTCTTAGAAGGCGGGCAAAGCCCGCCAAAGGTGATTTCATCACTGCAATGGCTCTTAGCAGGTGGGCGGAGCCCGCCATTGGTGATTTTTTTCATCACTGCAAGGGCTCCTAGCAGGCGGGCACAGCCCGCCAACTGCGCTTTACCCACTGCGGTTCAATATGGACAACCCATATTACCCTTGTGCATCATATGCTGTGCACGTCTATTTCCCAGATTTCAGCCAAAGTGGCACACAGCTCTCTTTGCCCCTGACCACGCCCTCTTTTCTTCCCTCAGCAGCCCTCAAAGGCGTAAGCAGTTGGTCTGGGGAGCCCCAACATCACCTGCCAGGGCCATATTGGCCCGGTTTCCCAGACGGGCAGTAGGTGGCCCCCCTCAAAATTTCTTTAGAAATTTTCTAGTTTGTAATTATCGCTACTTTTTACTTCTTACATTTTGGAAATAGACTCCTTCGTTTTGATTAATTTAAACTCATTTTCATCATGGCCTGTTGGTAAAAACCATCAAAATAATTTGTTTTATGCAGACAATTCATTTCTTTGCATTTGGACTTTGTACTGCACCAAACCAAAAATGTTCAGAGTTAAAAAGGACACTGTTAATCTTAAGTATAAAAGTAAGAAAAAGTAAGGAAGTTATCATTCAGAAAATGTTCCTTTAATAGGGCAGGTTTAAAGCGCTATCCTTAACATTTTTCTCCTGCATTACTTTTACTTTTATGCTTTAAGTAGTTTTAGAAATTGTACTTTTACACTTTTAATTGAGTAAAAAGCCTAAGATAATACTCTGACTTCCACAAAAGTGTTTTTAAACAGTAGGATTTATACTTCTACTTCAGTAATAAACAGTAATACTTTTGACACCTCTGCAATTTAGTACCAAATATGAATGTGGTTCAAATTGGCCTAAGAGAGATCGAAAGAGCAATATTTCAGCAGATAATAAACTTAGAGGAGTGCAGCAAAGCCACTGTTTCTTTTGAGTTTTAAGCTCTTTTACAAAACATGATGGATTTGAAAATATTTTGCAAATCTCAGAGATGAGGCTTCACCAGGTGTCTGCAACTCAAGACCTCCTGGTTCAAAAGTTGCAGTGCTTCTTTATAAGTTTTGGATGCCTCCCTGCTTCTTTAGAAAATACAACTGAGTTACCTCCTTGGTGTGTGAGAAAGTTTTGCAAAGGCCTGGTCATTAAACATTTTTCTGATTCAGGCTTGTGGGAGAAGGGATGCATCAAAATGCACCCAAAATTTGCTTTGCTTGGAGCTGCAGACCCTGGGATTACATTATCCAGAATAGACACACATTGCAGATTTAGTAATGCTAATTGTTGGAGCTGTGCTTTTGAATTACCTGCTAATATAAAATGTTAAGAACTGTTGAGATGGTTAACTCGGTTAATTATTTTGTCGCTGTTTGAAACTATTAATCGCAAGACGTACTGCTGATGTCAGATCCTTCACATTCAAAATCTTCTGTTTTTCTGACACACTGGCTGCATTTAGGTTCCCTCTACAGAGATCTCTGTCTCACTTTTCTGTTTTCTGTATGTCTCAGCTATTATCATTACTGTGTTCAAGTATCCGCCCTAACTATTATATAGGGCACTATATAGTGATTACGCCATTTTAGAGTGGCGTAATTACTCTAGTGGATGAAAAAGTAGTGGACTCGAAATTTCCCACTATGCACCTTGAAAAGTAAAGTGTACATCCATGGTCACTAGATCAGCATAAATATTCTGGAATGCTTTGTGAGGAGAGCTTTCCTCACAAAGCATCATGGGATTTGTTGTCACAGCAGCAAATGACAAAGATGGCAGGAGCACCATGCAGGGAGGCGGAGTTACGTGACCAACAGGGAGCAAAAAGTAGTGATCATCTGTCTGAACGGTCAGTTAACTGAGTCCACTATATAATCCCAGCTCTAAATAGTGATTGAGAGATTTTGGGGTTAGGGCAGATGTTCTGAGACAGCCCATGTTACTTTAACACCGTCTCTTTCTTTACATATTTGACAGACTAAATATAAACAAATGATAAATGATTATACATTTATGTTAAATGCTGACATATGAGCACACTGATGCAAATAACAAATGGTGTAGAGACAACAGGAGGGTGAAGTGATTGCAAACAGTTCTAAAGCCTGTTTGTTTCTTTTGTTGATATTTAATCCATGCTCAAATTATTGATCACCCAACCCAGCTCAGACACCAAGATAACCCTGCTGCCAAAATGTACCCTACATATTTGATATGGGAGCTATTTTTAAAACTTGGGTCTTTCAGCTTTATGAAAAATTGAAAAGGATTGGAGGAGGGAGGGAGTGAGAGATGAAGAGAAGGAGGTAGGGAGGGGACAAGAAAAGAAGAGGGTGGCAGAAACAGAAAGAGGGAGAGAGAGGGATTTACTGTAAGAGAGACAAATGTCAGAGGAAAGAGGAGGTGGAGGGACGGCCATGTGGGAGGAAAAAGAGTGATGGAAAGAAAAAAAGAGGTGGTAACTGAGGGAGCAGAGCAGGCTGAGCCAGATAGAGATGACCTTTTATTGCTCAAGTAACACAGTACTTTGACCCAACCGTGCATGTTGATGTGTAATGTGGTAGTTTGGGAAAGTGAAAGACCCAAGAGTTTAGAATCTTGAATTCAGTTAAATCCTGTGATACTCAACCCAAAAGCAAAATAAAAACAAAAGGTCAGTTTTTCATAAAGAGTCACAAACATGTTTTTAACATATTTCACAGAGATTGTAGGTGATTCAGACATAAAGTCTGACACCTTTAACTCTTATTTCTTTTTCTGTTTCAAAAATTTAGATAGATATGAACATTTTGAGGTTTTCCACAATCAGGTTTGCATGTCAAGAGAAGGATAATCTTTGCCATTCTGTTTAACAAAAATGTTTCAAATGAAGCTCTGGATGATTGGATGAGGTGCATCTGTGTACACTAGTTCAATCTGAAAAACTCACACGAAGAGAAAAGACAATTAGGAGAAATTTGTTGATACAATTACTTTGTCATTGGCGCTCAGACCTGCTGCAATTGTTTTTCCTTCAGACATTCATCCAAGCACCACACAACAGTTAGAATAAGGTACATAAAATAATAAAAGGGTCTTATGCGACATAGCAGCATCAGAAACTGTATATATTTCAATGTATTTTTATTAAGTTTTAAACTGTAAAGATCCCTGCAAAATGTAACTCTGTGAAAAGAAAATTCACAAGATTATATTAGAGATCATTGGTTTGATATTTATATACTAGATGAAAATAACTACCGGGATCTAAAAATTTATCGTAAAGTTCACATAATGTTCGATGTTCAAGGAAATAAATTCAATTGAGAAGTTCAGACTACTTTATCTAGACAGAGCTCTGTTAGCCAGTTAATTTATAACATGTTAACTTTTATAATTACTCTTCTTAAAAAAATCATAATCAAGAATTGATAGTAACAGGAATCATAACTAGGGATCAGAACTGGAAATTCAAATTCAGACAATACCCAACCCTAATCCTGAGGAAAACTCAGAGTAAGCCTTTGTATAGTTACATTTTGCACCACTACTAACAGTTGTCCTGTTGATGGAATCCCCAAACTGAGCTTTGAAATTCTACAGCTCCTCTAGAGTTGACACTGGCCTTTAGTAGCTTTCTCGATTACTGATCTCATAATCAATTATTGTCTGTATGGCATTAATGGCTGCTGTTTTTGGTTAGCAATGCTTTCTAACCTCTGCTTCCCTCACAGAGCAGGTGGATTTATACTTAGACTAAATTACACACAAGTAAAGTTCAAATACCTGTTAATAACGCCTTGTAAATAGATAATGGATTATTGTCTCCTGTCAAACAGATTACAATTTAAGCATGCATTGTTCATTTTTGGTTATTCAGCATACTGTAATGGTTTGTAGCTACACAATTGGTTATAACTCTGATTACTAGATGGCGTCAAAGAGCTTTCAATGTGATTGAAAAGAGCGGAATATTTATCAATAGGCATAAGTGCCTTACAAACATTACTGTGGCTGTGGGGTGGTTTTTATACAGTTTAGGACAATAATCAACAAAAAGTCCATTGATAATGGTGAAATCTTAAAGAAATTGGTTACACAAATGTTTATTGGTGGTTGGGTAAGAAAATTATAAAATACATGGAAATATGTGAAAATGTAAAAAGTTGGAAAAAAAGTTACAAGGTGTATAGATTTTGTATGTGTGCTCTTCAACAGTACAAAGAAAGTGATTACACACCCTCTTGGTGAGCTGCGTGTCCATCATGAAGTTGTGCACATGTTTCTCAGCCTTGGTCAGCTCCAACTTCCTGGCTACCACAGCAACCACCAGAGCTGTGCATCCAGCACCCTGAGAGAGAGGGACAGAGAGAGAGTGAGAGAGAGAGGGGCGAGTCGGCGGAAACAAAAAGTCAAGGCACAGACACATTAATATGGGAGATTTCAGGACAGAGGGCTCCCCCAGACAATTGATGGTTTATGAGGGAAAATTTGAGAAACTGAATGACAGAAGGAGATATGAATAGGGGAAGAGGAGAGGATTAGGAGGAACAGCTCTGCTCCAAATCCACATTTATTCACGGTGAGAGACAAGTCAAGTCTATTTTCACTTTCACTCCATCTGCTGTTAGATGAATTCTATATATTCCCTACATATGCAAAATGTACCTCCTCATGGGTTAAAAAAAATCAAAAATCAATGATCGGCACCACCTACTTTCATTTAATTATATGCTGTCGTTTTGAATTATATGGTGTCAGTCTTCTCCTCTCACCGGAGACTTGGAGGCTTGCAGGACGTGTGAAAGTGTAAAACACAGACCAGTTTGTCTGTATTCCAGCTAAGCCCACGTGGGATACATGGCAAAATTCATTTGGGAGAGAGTGACAGCAGACTCTCAACCGGAGAGACATGCTTGAGAGGAGAAGAGGAGCAGAAACACAGGGAGGAAAGGCAGACTTAATTAACTTTCAGATTAGAAGCAGTTTTGAACGGGGATGGTGAGTGCTCACAGGTTCCTGTGGAAAGAAGGGGAGAAGGAAAGAGGAGATATGGTGAACCAAGGAATCATAAAGGGAGGCATAAGTGCAGGAGAGGGATGTGTGTGTGTGTGTGTGTGTGTGTGTGTGTGTGTGTGTGTGTGTGCAAAAATAGCAGGGGAGGAAAATAGAGAAGAAGTCGGTGTTAATGAGGTCACATATCTCCTGATAGGCAATGAATTAAGATTAAGAGTGGTTAATGAAAGTGCACAAGTGTCTTCCTTCCTGTTTTTGAGTGTGTGTGTGTGTAGAGGATACAAGAGATGTTTAAGAAGACAAACACAAGTTTAGAGAGCAAACGCACGGAGGCTGCTGAAATGTGTGGGAAGGAAGGAGCCAAAGATTCGTGCACACTCTTAAAAGACAAGACAGGTTTGCCAAAAATAAGTTTGGCTGGCTCCAGTGAGATGTAACGCACAAACAGGCATTAGTGCCCACGTCTATACACTCATCCACTCTATTTGCACTCATACAACAGCTATGAATAAAATATGATGAGAGCCAAAGGAAAACCCTTAGAGCATTCATAAATGCGCTCAATGAACGAGCATCACAGTACGCGTGCAAACACTGCGCTGGTGCAGTATGCACAGGGGTCCTCCTTGGTCAGGAGCAGTAGGGGAGTGATTGGTTCATCACATCAGCCGAGGTGGGTGTATGTGCACACACGTTTGTGTGTATATGGGAGTTTATTTGGGTCTGCATCCACTTGATTCCAGCAGGGTTCCCTGTGCAATCTCTGCAGAGTGACACGACTGATGATGGCTGAGCTGCTGTGATTTGTTTTATATGCCTGCCAGGGTGTTTTCCTTCGCTTCCTCCGGTAAAGCAAAGCCATCTACACAGCAATCAGAAAAAGAGGGGAAGCTCCATCTGTGCTTATGCACAGTCATAACTAAAAGGGTCTTTATGAACACCGACACGGACAAGCAAAAAAGCACAATAGTGCTGCAAAACAGATTAGATCACAGTCATCATGGCAACATCAAAATCAGCAACATCACCATTACTGTTTCTTAGCGGAAATATTTTGCAGGACATAACATATAAATGTCATGCATACAAATTCGGAATAGAGGTGATAAATTTGCTCCGTTTAATAAAGACCTTCAATAACCCCAGTGCTCACACTTGATATTTTATTTAGTAGACAGAGCACACAAACCGGGGTGGGGACATCATGATGAAGGAGAAGTAGGTGAAGAAAATGGTTTAATAACAATGTTGCATGGACATTTAGGCATATAGTAATATTGCAAGAAGCCTTTGACTCAGTTTAAATGATGCTCTTACCCAGTTTTACATTACTGTACTCTTTCTAACAAAGATACCTCAGTGATGTTTGCAGGCATTTGTTATTCCACAGCTCTCTTTATCTCCCGCTAAGGGATTTCCATCATGTCTAGACTCTAGTAATTGTAGTCTAATTCATTCTGTTTACTAAGCCGTGTTTAGGGTCATTAACAACTTGTTGACGACCCTGTTTGGGTCAAACTTCAGCAGCTGCATAAAGAGCCTCAAATTTGACTTTATAATACTTTGGTATACAAAACATAACAAGCTTTGCTCAGCAACTCTTTTGGAGCAAACCAAACTGAGATTACCCTACCTCTACTATGATGCCTGAGAGTTTGCAGAGAGGGTTTTTTTAATACGTCGTGTTTGTTTTTGACATAGCACAGCAATGTTTATGATGATCGGAAATATTTTTGGTCTAACCCATTACAAGGACTCTGTTCCAGAAATTGAGTAGATAACTTAGTTTCAGAGGATAATTTGGCCATATTTACTAGAGGTGAGCATTGGCATGAGTGTTGCGATTCGATACATGTTGCGATACTTGGGTCACGATACGATATTATCACGATATTGCAGTATCACCATATATTGGCATATTTTCCTCAGCTATCAAAATCAAATGATGAGATAAAACAGCAAGTGCTGTATATTTTCATCAGAAAATATTGATTAGGTATTATTATCCATGTTGTTTGGGGTTTTCTTCCACTGTGACTGCCTCAAATACAGATTTGGTGCTGCATGCACAGTTAAAGGGCTCCACAGCGCTTTCTGCCAGAGTGGTGGTGCAGAGGTAGCCCATTTTCCCATCAATGTTTTATATAACCATTTTCTTTTTTTTGAAAATCGATACTAAGAAGTGAAAGATCGATATTATATTAGCAAGCTGAATATCACGATATATCGCCAAAACGATTATTTCCCACACCCCTAATATTTACTTTAAAGGTCCCATATAATGCAAAATTCAGTTTAATGTGTAAGATTCACAAAAATAAAAAAAAATAAAAACATATCCCCTCTCTCGCCCTGGCTTTCTTCACCGTTTAGCTAATGTGTTTAAAATCATCTGTTTGAAATGCCCTTTTTATGTAATTTGCCCATCGGTCATCTACAGCCTTCATCTAATAAACTATTCCATGCTCCTAGCCAGTATCTTTACAAACTCTGACTAGCTGGCATGTTGCGGGTTGTGGGGGCATGGCCTTCGGGTGGACAGCCAAAACAGCTCATCCAGAGGAGTGCTGAATAAGGAAGTTTTTGCCTAAAGGCTGTTTGCCTAATGGCAAAAACGTGCTCTGGGGGTCTCATTGTTAAAATTCTTTATTTTCAAATGTATAATAATAAGTATTAGAATAATATTAAAGAGAAAATGCTTTCTGCTTGGGAACCTTTCCAAATAAGTAAGATATTCAAAATATTTTTTGATAAACTATAACCTTTAACAAACTGAGGAAAGTGAAGTCAGAGCTTTCTTACAACAGATTGCTGGACTTCTAATTGTTTGGAAATGGCTTTGAAGAACTGCAAAGCACTCAGGACTGCACATATAATCAAACTTGCCTTTCTTTAAAGCACACCTGTCTGCCCCAGACAAATGAATTGACCAAATTCCTCCTACTTAAAGAAGTGGTCACTCTCGCCCATGGTAAATAAATCAAGTGCATTTGCATTCCCATGATCATGTAACATTCATGAAGTTAATTCACTATTTAGATTCAGAGGGAGGATTATGTCTGCACCTGTCTCCTTCCGCTTAACCCCATTTTAAATCACACTGCAATTACACAGAGCAGAAGTGTATTGGCTCTTGCTTTTTTTGCTTTTTACACCAACCAAGGTCCTAAAGTGAAAGGTGCAATTTCTACTTAATATAGTGCACTTGCAGAAACGAATCTGTGGGTATCTTAAAGATTGATAAAAAAAAGAAGCTATTTTAGTCTAAACCCTACCCACCACTGCTATGTTTTGTACATTTAGCATTTCAAGACTTAAAACAAACATAGAGGGAAAAAAAGAACAGTTAGTGAAAAGAAAAGGGACAGGGGCGGATACGGAGGATGTGGGATCTGGGTGTCATCCCACGTGGCGTACTTTCTTGTGATTAACTTATTTGTGATTGGTTGAAAACCATTACCTGCTTAAAAAATGCATTTGTGTATTGAGGCACATCAGTAAAGTCTCAAAAATCAACACACAAATGCAGTGAAGTTTAAAGACTACTGTACTTTGTATTTTAATTCATAATTGTTTATGGACCAGAAATACTTTGGTGAATCTTGTTCTTTGCGTGTGTGGATCCTGTGTGCTTTCATGAATCGTTCTGTGTCTGTGGATCTTGTCCTATGTGTGTGGACTTTTTTGTGCTTGTGTGAATCGTGGTGTGCATGTGTGGATCTTGTACTGTGTGTGAGTGGATTTTTTTATTGCGCCTGTGTGAATCGTGCTTTGCATGTGTGGATCTTGTACTGTGTGTTTGTGGATTTTTATGCGCTTGTGTGAATTATTCTGTGCATGTGTGGATCTTGTTAGATGTGTTTTTTTTGCACCTGTGTGAATCATGCTTTGCATGTGTGGATCTTGTACTGTGTGTTTGTGGATTTTTTGTGCTTGTGTGAATCATTCTGTGCATGTGTGGATCTTGTCCTATGCATGTATGAATCACGTATGTGTATTTGTGAAAATTGAGACCGATCTAGCTCCATACTTAGATGATGAAAGTGCACAAAGCTATTTGAAAAGCAGTTATTCTCTGAAACCTGATGGAACATGGTTATAAAAAGAAAGTGGCCACCAAGGCAGGAAAAAACTCCTCTCATGTTTGCATCACAGAGTGCACTAAAAGAAGCATAACTCCAAGGGTCTGAAAATTGGAGTTGGTGCAGGAGTAATAAAAGCCTGTTTTGTTCAAATGGTCAAGTAAAAAAATATTTTTTTGCTCAAGTCTATAAATAAAACCCTCAACATTTTACACAATATGCTTATGGCCTAAATTGTTTTAGTTCAAAATAA